TCTCTCTCTGTGTCTGTGTCTGTGTCTGTGTCTGTGTCTGTGTCTGTGTCTGTGTCTGTGTCTTATGAGTGTAGACACCTGAAAGTTGAGTTGCTGGCTTCAGTAGTGATTGTCACACCCTTCTGGAGTAGCTGTTCATCCTGCCTGCCCTGGCCTGGTTTCTCCTTGTCCTCGGTCTTTGTGGCAGGCAGGCAACTGGTCCGTGACATTTTCTTGTGCTTTGATCTGCATTGCTCTGGCATAGGTGCCTAAGGACCCCATCCATGGACCCATGTGCACATTCCATGCAGAGGTCTCCATCCAAATCCTACTTTGGGTATATGGGACTGAGACATGGTTTCACTTTGTAGCCAACTGGACTAGGACCTGCTGTGTAGAATTTGGGGTGATCCCCTGTGTCTGCTGATGAGTTCTGCATTACAGGCATGCCCTACCAAACCCATTCCCAAGTCCTTTTTGGTTTTTGTTTGTTTTTATTTTCTGAGACAAGGTTTCTCTGTGTAGCCCTGGTTGTCCTGGAACTCACTCTGTAGACCAGGCTGGCCTCGAACTCACAGATCCTCCTGCCTCTGCCTGCTAGGATTAAAGGTGTGTCCACCCCCACCACCGCCCTACTCCAAATCCTATTTTCTATTGAGGGTTTTATTGTTGAGTTGTAGCAGGTTTTTCACTTCTCTGGGTGGAAATCCCTTGTCAGATGAGTCCTATGAAATCTTCCTTTGTACTCTACAGCTTGGGGTGTTCTCACTGTTGACACTGTACTCTACAGCACGGGGTGTTCTCACTGCTGTCAGTGTACTCTATAGCACGGGGTGTTCTCACTGCTGACACTGTACTCTAAAGCATGGGGTGTTCTCACTGCTGACACTGTACTCTAAAGCATGGGGTGTTCTCACTGCTGACACTGTACTCTAAAGCATGGGATGTTCTCACTGCTGACACTGTACTCTAAAGCATGGGGTGTTCTCACTGCTGTCAGTGTACTCTATAGCACGGGGTGTTCTCACTGCTGACACTGTACTCTACAGCACGGGGTGTTCTCACTGCTGACACTGTACTCTAAAGCATGGGGTGTTCTCACTGTTGACACTGTACTCTACACCACGGGGTGTTCTCACTGCTGACACTGTACTCTAAAGCATGGGGTGTTCTCACTGCTGTCAGTGTACTCTAAAGCATGGGATGTTCTCACTGCTGACACTGTACTCTATAGCACGGGGTGTTCTCACTGCTGACACTGTACTCTACAGCACGGGGTGTTCTCACTGCTGACACTGTACTCTATAGCACGGGGTGTTCTCACTGCTGACACTGTACTCTAAAGCATGGGGTGTTCTCACTGTTGACACTGTACTCTACAGCACGGGGTGTTCTCACTGCTGTCAGTGTACTCTATAGCACGGGGTGTTCTCACTGCTG